CAGATTGATGTGGATCCTTGTGAGCACAGGCCTGACTAGTGTTTTGTTCTCTGAAGTAGATGAGCTGCTTTATTGGCAGTTGAGACTGACTCGATGTCCTACCATATGTTCTAGGTAGTCCCAGTCACTGGTGTATAAGTCTAATTGAAAGGGTTTAGAAGAACTGAGTACTGAAATGTGTCCAATATAACAGTAGAGTCTTCTGGCTCTCCTTTCTTCAGAGAACAGAGTGGATAACCACTTCTGTCAGAAAAATTATTATTTCAGGCATTTAGAACACAGATGTATGTTACACATGAGCTTTGTAATTTGACAAAGGAATCTCTGACAGCTTGAGAGTCGGTTTGTTTCTGAATAACTCAAGTCTTCCCCTTAACTGTGCTTTCTGAGGCCAAAGGGAAAGCTGAACTTGACCATGGAAGTGGTCCCTAGTTGCCAATGACTGACTTGTTGCAAGCAAGTTACACTGTAGCTGCAGAACTGCTCCCATCGAGATCACAGGCAAATTAGAGTTCTACTTACAAGAAAACTGTAATTCTCATATAATTTTTGCATTATAAACCTTTGAAGTTAAGCTTTTTACCTCTCTTCTTTGATAGAGAAGGTTGCAGGTGTTTACAAAGACCTTCAGAAGTTATCCCGTCTCTTTAAAGACCAGCTGGTTTACTCTCTCCTGGCTGCTGCCCGACAAGGTGAGAGAAAATATTTATGTTAGAGATGATACTTAATTTGTGAGGATGGAAGGGAGGGGGTCTATCAAAAACCTTGAAGGAAAAGTGTTAGAAACAGCTGCTCAGTGATGGCTATATAAAGAGTAAGCATAAAGTAATATATATGTTGTAAAGAAATTATATTGATCTTTGTAACTGAGAAAATATTAATATAATTCTGGTTTTAATTTTTCATTGCTCTAGTCTCAATTCAGAGACTGAAATGGAGTGGCTGTTTTTCACACTTAATGATGAGAAAATCATACCACAATAATTTTGTAGCAGTAGTTTTGAAGTATTTCTTTGTCAAAACAGAAAAATTTGTATAGCATCATATTTGGAAGTCTAACCTCAGTAATGATCCTGTCAGTAACTGATCATTGAGGGCTTGGAAGGGATGTTAGGAAGTAACCCATGCTGGTGTTTGTGAGGCAATAGGAAGCCAGGCTGTCTCTGCACAGTTACTGCTGTAAAAGGTCTCAGCTTTGTATTCTGAAGACTATTCGATGGAATTCCCTCTAGACTTCAGTGCAGGAAGGTTTTATGTGAAGCATGTGCTCTGTACTTAATGTGTATTTTGCAGACTCATGAAATTGGGCAGGTCTTTTTTTCTTTACCTATTCTTTTGTTCTGTAGTCTATAAACATAGTTAGGTGTTTGGAATGTTTCTTAGGCATAGTGGTCAGTGTAAAGTGTCATTTGCCCTATTTCATGCACTCTATAGATGTACTTAGAGTTGCAAGAGGTCTGTTTTGCAAGAAGTCACATCACAGTAGTTGCTGAGAAAAGTGATGTAACTCAGGTATGAAGGGGAGAGGATTTAAGGGAAAGATTATAATGTTCTTACTTTCTTTTAAGGTCTTTAGAGATAGAGTAAACTCCACACCACTTAAGTGATGCTTCTGTTTTCTTCACTGTGTAGCTCTGAACTTGCCAGATGTGTTTGGGTTAGTGGTCCTTCCTCTTGAGCTCAAGCTTCGGATTTTCAGGCTTCTGGATGTCCGTTCACTCATCTCTCTCTCTGCTGTTTGCCGTGATCTTTACACAGCTTCAAATGACCAGCTTCTGTGGAGGTTTATGTATCTGCGGGATTTCCGAGGTAATGTCGAGGCACATCTTTCTCTAATTACTTCACGTTAACAGAGGGATTAGGTGTGACAGATTTTGATAAGAGGCTCCTCAGGCAATCAGTGATGTTATTTAAACACTCTGAGGAAATGCAGTACTGTTGGTCAGCTGTAATTCAGGTTAAGCCAGGAAAATTGCTGACAGTCTTCTGAGCCATTACTGGTGGACTATGTGGTTCTTCCCATTGCGTGGTGCAGGCCTTCCTTGTTTTCATCTGTTTCCTTTGTTACTCTGGTGTACTGGCTATTGCAGATATTAGGAAGTGAAGGGAGGATATATTCCTGCTACAATTTCTCACACAGGATTGAAGAAACAAAGGTAGTCAAGGGAAGTGCTGTCAGAAGGCACAGGTTTGGACAGTATTTCTGGGATTTCTCTACTTAGTACCGTTTGGAGATAATGCTTTACATAGAATGAGTGTGCAAGTAGATTACCTATTAATTGGTCCTGGATCTTTATATTTTTTAAGATGTGTTATCTTTATGAAAAGATGTATTGACCAAATAGTGTTTTTTCCTGACTTGATTATTCTGCAACTTCTGACAAACTCTGGGCACTCGTGGCACAAGCGCTACTTGCTTTTCTTAATTTTTTCCTTCTCTTTGTAGATCCTATTGCAAGGCCTCGTGATACAGACTGGAAAGAAGTAGGTGGCTTTTTTTATATAATCTCTCTGAGATGAGTCTAATTTGAGAATTAAGCACAGACTTTGGGAGGCAGTAATGAGTTAAGTTTTAGTTTAAAAGTATGGCGTTCCATGTATGCGTGTTCGTCAGAATAGGAGAAAGCAGCATCAACAAGTTACATGGTGTGTGCCTGAATTGTGGGTTAGAGATCTTCCAAAGATGCTGTGTCTGGGCTTTGGCAAGCAGAGGAGTTGCTGCTCTGGGTTTTCAGACTGGTGAGGAGCACTTTTTTGAGAAGTGCCATAAAACTAAATGCAGCTGCTGAAGCTGGAACACTTACAGAGCTTTAAAATGCCTTCTCTTTTTCTGTCTGCAGCTATACAAGAAAAAGTTGAAACAGAAGAAGGAGGCCCTGAGATGGAGGCACATGATGTTTCTGCCTCCTATACCTCATCCAATCCCCTTTCATCCCAACCCATTCTATCCTAATCCCTTTCCTCCCAACCCATTTCCATCAAACCCAATCTATCCTCCAATGATCATTGGTGGAGAATATGATGAGAGACCAACACTTCCTTATGTTGGAGACCCAATTAACTCACTCATTCCTGGCCAGGGAGAAGCACCAGGTCAGTTTCCTCCATTCAGACCACACTTTGACCCCATTGGTTCCTTGCCTGGAGCAAGCCCTACGCTTCCAGGACGAGCTGGTCCCAGTGACAGGTTTCCACCCAGACCCAGCCGGGGCCGCCCCATGGACATTCGCCGTGCGTTCATTTGATTGCGGCTTTTTCCTGCAGTGAGTTTTCTAGTCGCTGAGCTTGCTTCCTAACTGCAGGAGATTGCAAATCCCAGGCACTAACACCTGCCTTCTCTTCAGATTGTGTCAAGAACATGTGTGCATGGTAGTGTTCCAGCCACAAAGGCTGGGTTTGTTTTGTGCTCTGGTAGTGCTGTACCACCTGGCACTCAGGTCTGTTTCACAAAGAGCTACGACTTAGAGCAGTTTGTTCTCCCTCCCCTCCTCCTTGCCCTTAGTTGTCTGTGAAGTGCTACTTGCAGACCAGAAGGATACCGACCAAATGCTGCATCAGATAAAGAGCACTTTAAATACAAACCCTGTACTTGTCTGTCTTATTTGAAGAGTTTTACTAAATTGCCAGGAGAAATGATGATGTTTAAAATCTACCAGGCTAATTAATAATCTTTATTAACAAAAAAGTTACCATGTACCACATAGAACAGTTACCATGTACCACTGTCATGGTAGATGTGTGTTCATGGATATTTTTGAATATGTTGTTTCCTGTAATGTTTTATTAGGTAAAAAGCATTTTTGTATTGTTACTTAATGCACAAAGAATACAGGGAAGGAATTTTCTTTACAATAGAAGTATTAGAACACAAATGAATTAATTTGACAAACAACTGAGTAAAGTCATGCTACAGTGCAACTCAGAAGTCTAAACAGAAGCAGAGCAACTTTACAAAGAATCAACAGCAAAACTTTGTCTTTCTCCTTGACTTTACAAATAAGGATCTGTAGTACATGGCTGCATTTACTGTGTGTGAACTAAAAGTGGTGCAAAAATGCATCTTCTCTCCCTGTCTGACTTAAGGAATTAAATAGGCTGACCTGGTTGCAGTGGAAATGGGGTCACAACAACATGAGAAGCAGAATGAATTCTCACTTCAATTCAGTGAATTCCATTTAATTCCATTACTTAAGTATCAGATTATATCTTGCCAAAAAGAAATGTATTGTAGCATGTTAAGAGCACCATTCAAGTATTGTCTTATTAACTAATGAGCAACTAACAAGACCACTGTTAAAGTCTCCTGATGAGATCTGCAGGCTGACACTGGAGCTCAATTAAAGGAAGACCAGAATGACTAAACTTTGCTAGAACTTTTAATTCCTTACGTATTTTTTAAGCTGATTGATCTCAGTGTTTCTATAAATGTAAATGGTACTGATGACTGTTGTGACAACTGATGCTATTTTCTAAAACCTTTTTGAAATTCCAGCAGTGGAAATGGAATGGCATTTCCTGTTAAATACAAGCTATTTAATCAGTAATACTTATGTGCTTTTTCAGGTGATATTTCAGTGACTCATCTTGTTTTGTATAAAATCAGCTGACTTCAGTAGGGTCAGGAAGTTTTGCCAAGTAAAATATAATACTTTATTTTGCTGTCAAAAGTTGTATTGCTTCTTTCTTCCCTTTTCTACTTCTCAGCAATGGTTTCCCTTCAATACCAAGATGATCCTTAACTTTCAACATTTACCTGCAGTGGTTGAATTGTCTTCTTCCAAAAGAATTTTCACAAGTGAAATTTGTAGTCAGACCTCTGTAAAGAAGCTTACAGTGTTTCTTTATATTCCCCTGACTATAAAAAGGAAAAGGGAAATCTACACTGCACTGATCTTGCACCATCTTGTCCTTGTGATGAGTGCTTCAGCAATGAATACATAATATTCAGATAAGGTTATAGAAATTATTTTATCAGTTAAAGCTGTAACTTACCCTTTTCATTTTTTTTCAAGTTATTTCTGGGAACAATGATCTCTGTGCACGTGAGATAAGTCAGTTTTGTGGTGCCAGTGGTACTCTCATGGCCATTGCCTTGATGACAATCGCGGGACTTACCCTGCTGGCAGGCCGTGTCCTTCTCTGGAATTGGGCTCTGTCTGCCATGAAGACAACCGTGAAGTTATACTTCTGCCAGGCTGATGCCAGAGATTCAGTTTATCCTGGATTTTGTCATTTGAATTTTATTTTTTTTTTTGAAGACACGAACTCAGCCTTTTTACACATATACCACTAAGGGACCTGAAGATATTCCTCCCCATTTTTGTTGTCCTTCACATTGTGGTAAAGGTATTGTGAGCCAAAGATAAAAGAACCTGATTACCCGGAACTGTCAAGTTCCTTAAAGAGGAGTTCCTGTTATTCATAAAACAGGATATGAAATATAAAGTGAATATCTTGGGCCAACAGTATAAAATTAGAAGACAAAACAGAGGAAATACTTGAAAACTAGCTGCTTGCTTTGTTTATTTGCCAGCTCCTAAGTCAAGTGTGTGTGTGATTCCTGTTGTAAACTTCTATAAAAGAGAAATCACAAAAGATGAAATGCCTGAAGATGGGCATTTCTTACCTGTACCTAACACTGTTAACGTTGCTACTAAGAGTCACTTGCAAATAAGGAACTATTTTCCTTGGCTTTTCTATTTATTGTTTTATCTTACTCATGAAACTTAGACCCAACCAGATGTGAAGCAGCTGAGCCATACACAGGGTGTAAAGTCTTATGTACCTGCTTGTGGTTAGTGGGAGACAGTAAAGTACTCTGCATTTACAAGTAGGACTGCTGTTCTTCTGGACCTTAGCTTGCCTGGGAATGTAAATGACACTTCTCTTGAAATACCACACCTAGCTATGACAAGAAAATCAAGATGTTTCTCAGTTTGTATCTAAACAGCAAAATGTAAACTAATTTTCCAGGTGGTGGATATGGGTGGGTGTCAGCTGCCTACCAGCTCCTTCTTGGGTTGGATCCAAACACACAAACCTACTCATGCTTCCTGGCTTCCATGTGAAGAAAATTAAAGCAAACAAGACAAAAGAAAGCTCTGACCAGGTGCTCAGTTTTCACAGCTGTGTGAGAAAGATCCCAAGGCATGCTGTGGGGCTTGTCTGCCCTGTGATTTAAATGTAGCTTCTATTTACTAGTTTTTCTGTTGCCTTCTTACTGCCCTAGCTCCAGCTGTTATATTTTGGTAGCTAAATACCTCTTGGGTATACCTTAGTTTTCCATTCATATAAATGGAGAATATACCCCTTGTATTCCCTCTGTCTCTTTGTTGGAGTGTAGGGATTTTGGACTAGAAACCTGGCATCAAAGGTGACAACCTGAGGTTTGGATGATGCATTTGTGAATCTCCTGCTAGCCACAACATCTAGTATGTGAGCATCATAGTTGTAGACTTGAGGTGTACTGTTGGGACATTCATAGGACACAGCGTAGATTTTCATCATTTTAACTCAGGAAATCAACTCACTGTTTTCATTAAAGCACTTCTATGAATAGAAATGAAGATGCTTTTCAGGAACTATGGGAGTAACTAAGATAAGCTGACAATGCCTGTTGCTCGTACTTGTAGCTAGGAGGAGGGGAGATGCAATTCTGTTTGCTTGTCGCTGGAAAGGTGACAGCTGGGAGCTGTAGGCAAATTAAGAGACTTGAGTCACCGTTAGGTATCAAGTCAGCAGTGCTATCCTGTCACTGTGGTCCATTGGAGGACAGCCCTGCTGTGTTCAAATGCGGCATCAGCAAATGATCCAGCTGTTGTGGTTTCAGTGATGAACTGGGGTCGATTTATGGGGCATACTAGTCACTAGTTACTTTTTTTGTATATGTTGTGTTGGTAAGGGAGACATAAAGAGTTTCAGGGGAGAGAACAGTTGAGGATTCTGGCAGTAAACTTTTATTTCTGACTCTGCATCTCTGGTGACCATTTAGTAGGGAAAGGCATTAAACCATGCTGAGGGAAGTGTTACAGAAGGAAATCCTCTCCCGCCAGCATTGTATTACCTCTTCTCCATATAGTGGAGCCTGTTAATCTGCTATTCTTGCCAGTGGGACCAGTCTTGCTCAAGCCCATTTGTCACGCTTTTATTGCTCCCAGAGACTCCAAAACATCAGGGACTGTTTTTTTTCTCAGACAATGACATGTATTTATGATGCTACATTGTAAACTGCTTTGCAAACCTTGAAGGACAACACAGAACTGGGGAAGAAAATAACAACAGGAACAAATAATCAGAGAGTAAGGTGGTCCTGTAATACTGGCCTTGAGGTATAAATCATTGATCCAGATGTGTCTCTTGAGAGACTTCCAACCTGGAAAAGCTATGCTGTTACTTGCCATTATATGTGCAAAGACCTGCTCAGGGGTAGGTCATACAAGGTCCAGATGACTGCATTGGATTTAGATGTTCATTACAGGTGCTATGCAGGAAGGATTTCCATGTTTGGCTTTATTCCAACCAGTGAATCATAAGATCCGAGATGGCAAATGCAGCTGTTGCTTTTGTTGTTTTGGGGATCTCCTGGTTTGACAGCAAAGATCTATGCCACTGGCTGAAATATTTTTTTAACTTAAAACTTACTGACCTCCCTGGGCATTCCTAAGTATCATCATGGTGAAGTTGCTAAGGGAAGCACAAAGCCAAGTCTGGCCTTGAAGCAGTATTTTGAGGAGGCGGGTTGAGGACTGACACCTACATTAGGTATACTATAACCAGAGCTCACAAGGTGCAAGGGGGTTCTCACCTGGCAGAAATAGCTGTAAATACATGGATTTACCCAGGGTGGGTTTTTGCAATCATGAACATAGCTTGTGTCATTCCTGGGTTTTGTGATATCCAAGTTCTACTATATGGGCACATACATGGCTTCTATTCAGTGTTGCAGGCTTAGAGAAAAAGCACACTGGTGAAGATCCATCTCTCTCTTCTCCAGAAGAATAATTCTCAGAGATGGGTGGAGAGGACTAATACTGATTGTGACCTGCTTGGGGCAATCCCATACATACCCTGCCATGGCTTGGATGGTCTCTGGATGGACCCAGCTCATCTTATTTGTGAAGTATAATTTTCCTGTTCTGTTGCAGCTTTGTCACCTTGCATTCATTTTGCATTCACCCCAGCAAAGTCAGTGGGAGTTCAGGGAGGGAGACAGGATTTCACTCCATATCTCTGTCCATTCGGTATTATGGAACACTCAGCACACAAGTATGTGCACTTCATCAGCTCTGCTATTAATTAGGCACGTTCCTGAGGGAAATGCTTAGCCAGATGTGACCAAGTCACCAAAGTGCTTGGAGTTTAGCTGGGTTTTGTCTGGAATTTGTGTGAACTGTGAATGTGAACTCTGGTGTTTTCAGGGGCAGGGGAAGAAGTTGTTTTTTATGTGGAAGACCCATTTCTCAGGTTATTTTTGAGCTAAGGCTACAGGGTTAGAACACAATGTTTTTCTCTCAGAACTTGGGAATCATGTGCAGGGGACATAAATGCAAGGCATGAAACAGAGATCTTTTATCTGCTATGAGCAGAGAGATCTGGAATAAACCAGGAGTCCATCCGGATGACCTGCTCATGTGATCTTTGGTGCTTACTGATGCCTGGTACCATATTTAACTTGGACTTGGAGTTTTGCTCTGAAAAGTGACCTTTTATGAAGTTGGTATCACAAAGTTCCACAATTCACTGTACTTCCATGCTCAAACATGCTCACTTTATCAGTCAATGAGTACTTACTTATTCTTGACTCTGCTTTTGCATATGTGTTTCTGAAAGAAGCCCATGTTTTTTAGGTCAACCTTAACAAGAATTCAGTAATTTGAAGTTAGCAATTGTATTGACTATGTACAAATCAAAATAAAACCCAGTTTGCACTGTCATAACTGTGTTGACTCCGCAGAAGTTAGCAAGAGTAAAATTGCTTTACAATTCAGTCATTTGAACAGATCTGATTATGCACAAAAAACAATGAAGTAGTGACACTTTTATGCAGTCACTTTTCAGACTGTTATTAGAATATTTTCTTTGTATTAAAACAACTGTAGTTTTCTAAATTCCCGTTACCCAGGTGGTAGTTGTAAGTCGCTGGGTTCCACTGAGTGTATTCCAGGATGACATCAGATATGCTATTATGTAGAGTGAGGACTGACAAAAGCACAGATCCACCTGCAGAACTGTTAATCAGAAAACAGGCTAGCAAATGATTTCCTCAGGTTGCGGATGGTTTCAGCTTTTGCTTCGTCTTCACTGGCATTTCCCCGCTGAGGTGATTCAGATATGCTGAAGGTGTTTGTCAGGGACTGCGATTTGCTGAAATGGAAAACAGAGTTCTGGCTCAGCAGGAGAAGGTGGTAATTCAAAGCTGGTTACTGATGCTTTGTGTTCCATCACACAGACAAATTCAAGAATAAAAGGAGAGGTTAGCAAGGATAATCTCCATGTGCTAAGACATCTAAGAATGGGGAGTTGGGAAAGGATGCGACACGGGCAAGTGGCTTAATCCAGACTGGTGAGAGTTGATGAAAACATCTGACTAAAAGTATGCAACTGCCATTTGGTGTGGCTGTTGTGAGGAACTGTTAAGTAATTTCACTATTAATGCAGAAGAATGGATTCATACTGAAGTTCACTTGTCTCTCATCAGCTGTACCATGAATGATAGCCCTGCCCTTTCAGCTGTGAGAGCACAAGAGGTTTGGCGAGTTGGTAGCCATGTCCCCTGCAATGTGTGCATTTGCCTGCTCTCCCTGGCCTGTGTGCTCTGACTGTCAGCTCTGTAGTATAGGTCTTTTGGTTGGCCACACTGCTCCTGCTGGGTGTCTACCTGCTAGTGTTTAACTTCAGGACTGTGTTTTTAAAGTAAATCTCCCAATTTTCCTTGCTACCGTGCTTAGTCACTGAGTGGTTTCTTCTGGTCAGTAATAGGTATCCACCACAAGACCAGACTCTGAAAACCAAGTACCTGAAATATGTATAGTGTGGTGACTGCATCCTTAACACCAACATTTTGATCCTTAAGTACACTTTTTTTGGTTTGTCTTGCTAATGTAAACATCATCACTGAAAGCCTATTCCAGAATATCACTCCTCTGATTCCTAGAAATTGTCTTCTCATTCCTAGCCTATATTTTGTTCTGGCCAGTTCATACCAATTTGCTCGTGTTAACTTTTTGTCAGCATCAGACTTTTTTTTGCCAATCTTTCCTACCATGGTGCCAGCCAGATATGCTCCATGAAGGGTGACAGCCAAGGCTGCTATCAGAGATCATCAATAATTCATTGGTGTGCTCTGCTCCAGAAGAGCACTTCAACATACAGTCACCATCTGGAGTTTCATATATATGAGTAGGGCCACTTCCCCTTCCCACCCCCCCACCTTTTTGCTACCAATTGCAAAAAATTGCCCAGAAAAGAAGCTGTGTGGCTCCTGCGTTCAGGGAATAGTGAAGGAATGACTCCTGTTGAGCTTTCTGGGCCATATTGTGTTATTTACAGCCTGTAAGGTGTGTACACCCTACTGGGAAGGCAGTGGCTGTGTTGATATGGCCAGGGTAGAGCACAAGAACAAGAGGAAGAGTGTGAATTCTTAGTGATGTCAAATACAACTTGTTCTTCCTGACAACAGGTCAATGGTGGCCCCTTATGCCCAGGGATATTTATATATACCTCTGAAGTCACTCACAGTTATGCAGGTCTTTGTCCCTGGGGACTTCTGCCTGACAACAGGTGATATGTTCTTCGTGTCAGCTCAGGGTATCTACAGATAGTAGCAGGTTATCAGAGCACTTACTTCAGGTGTGGGTGTGGGGCAACTTGCTGTTTGGATGTTTCCGTCGGGCTTGGCTGGCTTGGAGCCCGGCCTTGGGCAGGAGGTCTAGGCTGCTGTGGAGGGAAAGCGCCTGCCTTGGAAGCCTGGACTGGAGAGGACCCAGTTGCTGATCGGACTTGCTGTGGAGATCCAGGTGACCTTTGCTGTTGAGGGGAAGTGGACAGAGGGCTCTGGGGTTGCTGTCCTTGAGGAGAGAGCCGCTGCTGTGGAGGTATGTTTGTTCGCGTAGGCTGAGACCCTTGTGGCTGGCGTGGTCCACCTGAAAGGGACATGTAGACATAAATGTGAGGAAGTGCATGTGATGGACAACAAGCATGAAACATCTATATGGAAGAACAGGTCTTGCTAAGGGGAGAGACTCTTCAGTTTAGCTTCATTGGGAAGAATGAGGAAAAACCTCTCTTATAGGCCAAAAATTGGTGTCATACCCTCTTCTGTAGAGTTGTCCATTTTTCTACCTCCTTCAGCACTAAAGAAGACCCTCCACTCTCCCTGAAGGGAGTCACTTCAACCTGTTTCACCCTTCCATGTATCTGGTATTTCTCTTTCTTGGTAAGCACATCCTGCTTGGGGAAGGAAGCTGGAGAACCAACTCTGTGGGAAATGAAAGCTGACTGGGCTGGTTTGGGTCACCAATCCCTTCATGGGCCCAGCAGTTTGATGTGAGACACTCCATCCTATCACCATCCATGCTGGAACTATCTGTTCCAGGTGGCTTCAGCTGCACTGGTAACAGACTTTCTGAAGAGGAAGTGGAAAACAATTGGATGTGACATTGCTGGACATGACAGATAACACTGTGAGAGCCTGACAAAAGTTACAGATAGTGTTATGAGGGCTGGCCGGGTTTCACAGATGGAATGGGGAGTTATGTGAGAAAAAACTTTACAGAGAATTGAAGGGGAGTACTGGAGACAGATGGGGAGCAGTATCCTGCAAGGCCGACAGCTCATATCAGTCATAGTATGTAATGCCAAGATTACATAGATGCATTTCGTATCAGAAATACTAGATTTTGGATGCAGAAAAACTGTGACCAATGAGGAAAAGATAATTAGAGGTGGGTGTTAATCTGGTAGGAGGTTGGAGTGGAGAAAGGAAGTGATAAAGGTGGCAAAAGTGAGGGTCTAATCAGTTATGTGAATTGAGTGGTTGGTGTGGCCTGGGTACCCATGGGGCAGCCCTGTGCTTCATCACCTCAGAGCAAATCAGGACAATAAGCCAAACTTGTTGTTCTGACCAAGCCACAGAAGTCATACCTGCTACTGCTGTCAGAAGGAGCTGGGAGTATACTCTTGTTGACATGGGAACACCTGAACAGATGGATCAAGGATCCTGACCTCACCACATTGGTGTCTGTTCCAGGCCTGACAACTCTAGCATCTTAACACTTGTAGCCACTACAGCTTTGTGCACACACAAATATACTCCATGCCCAGAATCCTACTCCAGTGCCAGTTCAAGTGGCCTCGTTTTGCTAAGGCCTACCAGGGATATCAAGTGGATCTGGTATTCAGTTTTCATCCCACTTTTTGAGCTGCTGTGGAATATGACAGTATCTGCTTCAGCAGCACACTGAATTTGCTGCCTGTTTGACAGTGAATTGGAAAATGAGTGAAACCTTTGTCCTGATAGCTTTTGTTTAGAAGGCAAACTGATAGGACTCACAGTCATCACTGTCGTGGGAATCAAAGAACTTGTACCTTGGGGAGGAGGCCGTGGTTGTGACAGCTGTCCAAGCTGAGGTCCAGTCTGAGATTTCATTGACACCGGCTGAACTTGTGGAGGCTAGAGGAAAAAAAGCCATTCCAGTTAATACATAGTCCCCAAAGAGAAGCCCTGAGGTAATACAGGAACTGTAGAGTCATGAAGTGTTCCTTAAATACACACATACACACATGCAGCATCTGGCTGGTAAAATCTCATGGGACTAAAATGGAGAGGTGAGTAATAAAGAACATAGAAGTTGTTTGCTCACAGGGAATAACAATGAAGTTACAGTTTAGAATGTTTTTTAGACAATCAGGAATTAGCAAATGTATCTAGCCGGAGGGGGTCTCTCAGTCCCATCTCCCATTTTGGACAGTTGCCAGCACCAGATGTTCCAAAGAAAGGACGGATGAACCATGGAAATGTCTATGGAGTAATCATCTCTTTACCCTAAGGGGTCTCCTCTTGATTGCTAATAAGCAAGGGCCAGCTTCAACCCTGAAACATGAAGCTTATTATCTGCTCTGCAAAATCTTTGCAACAGTTCCAGATATTTTGTTTTGATATTTATACCCAGACCCTTTGAATCTTGCTCAGCTCTCAGCCTCACTGTCTTTCCCATTTCTTGTCTCCATTTCTTGTTCTGAGTTTTGAGACTAGTTCTCACAACCTGCCCCTGCTAGGCTATTCATTATTTTGCAAACCTTCACTGCCCTCTTTCTCATTCACCTCCTTTCTAAAGCTAAGAGACTGAATCCCTTCAGTCCCTCCATGGGAATGTTTCCAAGCCCCTAATTGTTTTCATCACCAGCTTCTCTTTCCCAGCTTTGTGATTCCTTCTGCAGATGCCAGAGGTGGGTCTGCTTACATTTTTCCAGATGAAGCAATATCTGGGTTGTCTGCATACATTGCTTGTTCGTTTCTCCTGCATCCTAATTTTCTGCTTTTCCCTTGTCAACGCAAGCATAGGCTGAGCAATGGTTTTCATTAGCCTGTATGCGACAAAGACTTTCTCAAGGGAATGGCTAGTGCCACTTGAAAGATCTGCAGATTGTTTATGCTCTCCCTCTCTCTACCCCCAGTTTAGCTTACCATTCAGTCTTCCATATGGAGTTTCATTTGCTGTTGTTGTGCCTTAACATACATGGCTCTGTCAGATGTTCTTCACTGCCATTCCTGGTTCTGACTAACGAAAATAATTCGGTGCCATCTGCTCTTTCTTCTCCCTCACTGTTTAGTCTTTTTGACAGATATTTTAATAAACAGATTAAGCAACACAGAAAAGCTGCACAGAGGGCCAGTCCAAAGTTAACAAAAGTCTGAGTAATCCTATTGCACAAAACTGTTTATGAAAGCAGGGGAAGCTGGAGACAGATATGCTGGTACATGCTGGATTATTTACATGGAGAACATCATGATAAAAGGGTCTTCAAGGCTCCTGGAAGGTCAAGAGAATGAGCTAAGTGATTCTGGAAATAGGAAGAAAGGTTTCATAGTTGGAAACATTGAAATTAGTTTCAATGGACTAACATAAATGTGATGAGGTTGCCCATCTTTTACACTATTTATCTGGGACTTGCAAAGGGATGGGGGAAGAAAATCTGGGAATTTTCCATGGCCCCTAGTCCTACACAGCTTGGAACACTAGACCTTGCCTTGGCGTTGGTGGAAATGTACTGTCTTAATGCTGTGAGACATCCTAATGCTATGACACATCCTGATTAGACCAGCTGAAGAAAGGGAATTAGATCCCACATTCACCTCTACAGCCTTTCCCTACAGCCAGTCAAGGCATCTCAGAGATGAAGGCAAAACAGGCTTTTGAAGCTCAGTGGTGAAGGGGTGAAAACCAGCACAAGGTCTTCTGCCTTTGGAAGAGAAACCATGAGGGGAAAGGCTGGTGGTGGGTCAGAGAGGCAAGGGAAGAACCGTAGCTGTAACCATGAAACCAGGTTTCAAGTTGTAGGCATGAAAACAAATTTGTTGTGAGCTCAAGCAACCCGTTTATCAACATGGCCAGGCTTAGTATCCCTGAAGTATCCCCTCTGCTGACTGTTTGCAAGAATTAAAATCTCCATACCTATGTCTTTGAGGTCAGCTTCTGCTTCACAATAAAACTTTGCCCTTTACCCCTCTCTGCTTTCTTTCTTTAATAGCTCTTGTCTTTTACCTTGCCCAAGGCTTTTTTTTGACTAGCTACATTATTTTGACTGATTGCTTGTTATCTACCACTTTATGAAAGAATTCTCAAAGAACTGAGAGGAAAAGAATCAAAAGGAAATTAATGGGACATTTTTTATTTGTAAAACTAATGTAGATATGTGTAGGTATTAAGCTGTGATTCTGTTGGTTTATTAGTCTTCTGTATTCTTCTTTAAATTATCATTTGAGATAATTCATGAGGTCTATGACTTGTCTAAATTTTTCTAAATTACTCTTACAACTTTTAAAACACATATTTTGTATTTGTTGGACACCAGTCCTCTGGAGCACTAACTGTTTCTAATGATATTGCATAGTTTTTTTTGGCAGCTTAGTCACTTCCTAGTGACTTCAGTTCATTGGACATAGCCATCTGGGGCTGGGGGCTTAAGAATTTTTAAAAATATTAGTCATCACTGATTTAATAACTGTTTTTGTTCTCTCCCCTGTCATTCTCATCAGGAAAAGCTATAACTTGGTAAAGAAGTTCCCTGCTTTCAGCATTTAAATTTACTGGAGTTGCAACACTGTTCCCGATGCCTTTCTTTTCTCCCTTTATTTTGGATGATCCATAGAGCCCACCAATTCTTTGATAGGGTTCCATTTTCTGTTCAACTCTTGTTTCATTCTTCCCTCTATCTGCTCTTCAAAATCAATTTCTATCCTTTTTACATTTCCTTTTATTACTTGTATGGTGCTGCATAAAGATCTTCTTAAATGTCAAATTTCCAAATTTAAAAGATTATTTTCCCCCCTGTTTGTCTTGAATATCCTCTTTGTCACTTATCTCTTCAAGTTTATTTCCTCCTTTCTTGGATCACGAGCAGATCAGATATGTATATATGTATGATGAAAAACAATGGTCTCTCCAATAGCATCCATACAGTTTTAATGCTAGGGAGTTGATTAATTTTCTTTTGTGTCATACTCTTTCTGATATTGCATCTGTCCCTTGGACATCAAACCTGAGGGTACATATTAACTTTCTGAATTTGTACTTGGGTGTTTCTTAAGGCAAAGTTAAGGTGTTCTTTCCTCCCTCTGGACTGCTGTCCCACTGTGCTATTTGACTTGCTTCTTGATAGTTGTAGTCTCACATTGTTATGACTTGTTCCTTCTTCCATCTCTGTCAAAACTGTGCACTCTGTTTCATAATTTCTCAGGTTTTCTTGATCCAGAGACTAGTATAGAGAGGTCAAATTGTATAGGTATTCTATTCATACCCATAGGATGTCCAAGAATTCATATTTCTATGTATTCAGTACTGCTGTCCCTATTTTCAGAATTGCTATTTATCTTCATTCTGTGGAAGTTTTCACCTGTATCTCTAGTTCTGCATCTCTCTGGCATCATATTTAATTATTTCTCCCTGCACATTTCTAACTGTTATAACATTATGTTAGTTATTGCATTGTGTGTAGTTTCTGCAATGTTTGTGGCACCAAGCTCTTCCTCTATAGCAAAACACTCTAGTTAACATGCTTGTGGGTTTGATTTTCTTGATTATATATACAGATATTTTTAGGTTGTATTCCCGATGAAAACACTTTTCTTATTTGACTCTTCTATTTGACATCCTATCTCTCCAAGACCATTTCTTTTGTTCTTATTTTGGCCTTATTTTAGGTTTGTTGTAATCCAATCCAATACTGCACTGGTATATTAAGGACATAGAAAACAGATGTATCTGTCTGCGTTCTCAGTTTCTCTTGGTTTCCCCGTACTCTTAGTTCATGCACTCTATATCTTGGCTATTTCAGATGGCAGTTCTTGATTCCTCTTTGACCAGAGTAAATGCTATCCCTTCTGTATCACTTTCCCTACCTCAAAGCATTTTTAATATCTATTAAATGTCTACTCCTTCACTCTAGCTAAAACCTGGAGTCACCTCGAATACCCTTCATATGGGGACCTGGTTTAGCAGGAGTGGACTGTCATCTGACAAAGGCAGAGTGCCATTAAGTGCTTTCTCCTATTTTTTTTGGTCTCAAGTGGAAATGAAAATTATATCAGTTGCAGTCAGTTTTATCCCTCAACCTTTTTACTCTCTTGTCTTTTCTATTGTACAGGTTTGTTGTCCTCAAACCTTCATGCTTGTCCCCCTGCTAGATACTGAAAGAAGCGTTGCACATACACCTGGATACACAGGTTATGTTCTGGTGTGTTTCATCTGCATGGAACTGCCACTGGGAAATGCAGCATCTAAAATGCATCTAAAATTAGATGCATTTGAAACTCAAAATATGTGCACACGAGAAGCACTAAGGGGTCAGTTTAAATGCAAAAGTGACAGGGTCTTATATGAATTCAGCCTTAGTCAAGCCTCCTCCTGAACAAAGTCTGCGGTAAGTAGTAGAACAAGTCTTGGTGGAGATCCTCACTTTCTATTCTTGAAAGCACAGATTTTCATCAGGGGTGCAAAAACTTGAACGAAACCTATCCTCAGGGATGGTGTTAGATGGAAATGAAGTTGAGCATTAGAAGAACCTCTAAAAATGTCTGATCTCGATATGAACCCATGAATTTAGCAAGTCCAAATGTCTGGATGTATGGACATGCTACTGATGTGATGTCACACTTATATGGAAGGAGAATAAGGGAGAGAGATGTGTTCCTTAGGGGCAACCACTTCAAAGAGTGTATGAGAGACTTCTGTGGAAGAGCAGGAGTCAGTCTGTCCAATACACTCCCAGATGGAATTGTTCAACTCTCTGAGATGTCTGACTGCCTGACACCCTCAGCGAGGAGAGAGAGAGAAAAAAGTTCGGGAAATAACTTGGCCACAAGGTCTCTATTCACTCATACCCAAGGCCTCAGCGGTGACGGTGTAGATCCAGCAGAGATGACAAGCTGAGTCATTTTGGAAACAACCAGATCAGCTATTAGCTGTCTGTCTTCTTCTACGTGCTCCCCAATCAGGGGCATTGAGCTGTCCATCACCTGCCACAGGAGATAAAAACAACAGTTAGTAAGGAGGTTTCCTGCTGGCAGATGCCTGTTTCAACTCACCTCTCGCATTAACCTGTTTTGTGTCTCCACATCCTTGCCAACACCTATAGTCACCCCTCTCCTCATGCTGAAACATGCTTGACTTCTCCAGGCATGGAATTTCACTTAGGGTTTTTTGGAAATAGCATGTACTTCCCCCAGCTCTCCATCTTCCTTCCCTTTACAACTTGGAAGCCAAGCCAAGACTTCTGATGGCTGGAGGCTTTCTCAATCAACTAAATACAAACTTTTTCTTTCACATATCCTGGGGAGATGTCTCTGATGGATGAGGTCTCTCTGGTATTTTCCCACAGTGTTTGGGGGTGACATTGCAGCTGAAAGGGCCACAGCAGAAGAGAACGAACATGTGCTGAAGCCTGGGGAGATGAGAGCAACAGGGACAGGAGGAAACCAGGAAACATTTGGGGTTAATTAACACAAAGCACTGCACCCTGAGAGGGGAAATAAACACCACAGATGTATAATGAATAGGATGTCACCAAAACAGCACCCAGTGCAGGAAAGTAAACTTTTTCTCTGCTTGTTCTCTTGATATTGCTGCAATACGACTGCTTACCGAGCAAGTTCTACAACTGTGCTGGGGAAAGTGGGAAGCAAGACTGTGGGGATGGGGGAAGGAAAACTGTCAAAGGGTCTTTGAGGTAAGAAATAGCCTGACAACAATAATAATGAAAGCAGAGCAGACCCTCAGCTGTATTGCAGCCCTGAACATAACTTTCAGCAGTTCATCATAAATCAAGTGCTTTGCAAGCATTAGCTAAATCCCACAGGAAGAACTGTACCATGATGAAGTTAAGGTTCAGCTGGAGTAAATATAATAGTACCAAAATATCAGGGTTGGAAGAGTTTATTTTATTTTCTTTTATTTTTAAAGCAAACATTAAAACCCCTGAAAATGCAGAGTTAAAGGTTGCATTGCTTAAGAAAAGCACTGACTCACACTCAGATAACAGTCGAAAGTGCACTCCACCCTAGCAAGGCTGCAAGAGTCCACTCTTGGAGGGAAATAGAAAGTTTTGCACTCTCATTTTTTTAGATTTAAAGAAGAGGAAATCAATGAGGTTAGTTCACTGAGTTTGTATTCTGCTCTTTTCTTGCAGAATAATAGTTTTGATTAATTTCTATATGTGTCTTTTTTTGAACATTGGAGAAGCTACTGAGGAATTTTTAACTGGGGTACACATGAAGAGTGGATCGATGTTTATATCCATGGCCTACTTGGCCCACGGGGTGAAAGAAGGAGGTTAGAAAATTATATGGCAGTGTTCAGCTAAATACACACTGTGGCTTTTCCTTCCAATATTCACTTAGCTGTTTTTCTGTTAAGAAATCGGGTGGGGACTGTGAAGTTTCCTAGCAGTGTCAGGGAATGGCCTGAGTCTCACCAGCCAAGGGCTTCGGGGGGCCCTCCAGCAGGCTACTGCGCAGTTTTCCCCCCTGTCCAATCCTGTCTTAAAGGAAAATTTGGCAATCTCTGTTCCCAAGTGAGAAGAGAGGTCTCCCATCTCCCTGCAGCGCGCCGTGCGAGGGACCCGTGTGGCCACTAGATGATGCCGTTACCCTGCGAAGAGTCAGGCGAGCCGAGCTCCCTGCTCCCACCCTCCGTGGGACTCACTGAGACACGGCTCTGCTCAAAACACCCCAAACCCCGCATTTCATGGAGCCGTAGAATGGTTTGGGCTGGAAGAAAGCTTTAAAGGCCATCTAGTCCAATAGCCCTGCAATGAGCAGAGACATCTTGAAATAGATCAGATTACTCTGAGCCCCATCCAGCCTGACCTTGAATGTTTCTAGGGATGGGGCATCCACCACCCTTCTGAGCAACCTGTGCCAGTGCTTCATCACCCATGTTGTAAAAAGATATATTCCTTTATTCAATCTAGATGTACCCTCTTTTAGTTTAAAATCATTACCATTTGTCTTATTGCAACAGGCCCTGCTCAAAAGTTTGTCCTTGTCTCTCTTATGGGCCCCTTTTATGTACTGCAAGGTGCTATGAGATCTCCCCAGTTCCTTCTCTTCTCCAGGCTGAACAACCCCAACTCTCTCAGCCTGGAGAGATGCTCCAGCCCTCAGATCATCTTCATGACCCTCCTCCGAATCTGCTCCAACAGGTCCATTTCTTTACTGTGTTGAGGCTCCCAGAGCTGATTTTCCCTTTTCCCAAAAGGATTGCTTTCCCCTTTTTCTGTGGCTAAATTGTCTGGAGAGGAAGGCAAGATGATGCTTTATAAACTAACGGCACCAGGGGGAACGAACTTGTCCCACCTGAACTAGTGAAGGTGCACCAGGTATGATGCTATCTGCTGTCCTGCTGTATAGTGTCTGGTAGGGGAATGTGAGATGTGGGAGACAGAAAATAGAGGAGTGAACAGTCAAATGCACAAGGGAAGGCCTTTGAAAATGGCAGTGGTTTCTTTGGGCAAAATGACACAGCTGGTTGCCACTGAACTGAAAAAAAATCACGAGATGTCACCTTGCCTGTCTTCTGGAAAGGGGGAATTGGTCTGGAACTGGGCAGATACAAAAGCTAATACTGAAATAAATCAAAGGCTGAGAGGAATACATGAATCACAGATAGACTGCACTCATCTCTTCCTGGGCAATCACAGAACAGCTGGGCAAGACAAGAAGATGTTGGCACACATGGACCCATCCTTGTAGCTGCCCAAGGTCAGTGGCTGCTCCTGATGCAGCTGCTGTTGCCTGATAAGGTGAATGAGGGGTGATGGGAAGTGGCCAGTCAGAGAAGAGACTCAGAAAAACACCATCATGGTTCTCCCACTGTGCCTCTCTGATGCTGAAGCCTGAAGGCTGGGCTTGTTGTTCCACTCTCTGATGTGCAAGAGTGGAGTGTTAGGTGATTTCTAGGGAAGGAAGGAAGGAAACTGATGATTAGACATATCAAAAGAAACGATAGGCAGTGCTGGAGGGGTGAGCAGGGCTCCTTGCAGGGCAGCAAGGAGCATGTCTAGTAACAGAGTTTAGCTGTATGGTGGGTAAGGCTTAGCTTATTCTTCCAGGAAGAAGAACAAATCACATGGACCATTTCACTTGCCCTCTATTTGCTTCATATTTTTCAGCATAGCAGAGACGTAGAAATAGATTAGATTACCCAAAAAATAGGGAGATTATTAAACCATACATATTGCTGAGCTCTTTTGAGAATCTAGCTGCTAACACTGGTACAGAATTTGCACTGTTTTGATGATCTGGCCTTCTGATTAAGTGCTGACTACTTATGTTGAATATTCCCTCGAAGTGACAAAGTTCTTTAAAGCAGAGAAAAAAAGAATTACCAGCATTTACTGATAAATCCATAATCTGTTTCAATATGAGACATGAAAATGGTACTTAAGTGTGCTAATGTTTTGAAGGCCGGTAACGTAACAGATTCTCTGTTTGCCATGGGAAAAGAGAAGAAGGTGAAATTCAAGAGAGAGAAAATACCATGACTGCAAGATTACTTCTGTGCTATGTTGATAGCTCATCTGTCTTAATCTGATTCTGTTTGCAACAAACCACTGTGATAAATCTCAGTTCATAGAACTGCCCATCACTACCTCTGCGAATCTTTCCCGAAGAATTACGTTGCACTATGAAAATTAATTACTACCAGCGATTGTATTGTGCAAATTCCTTATTTGTTCAGCCCATTTAGAAGTGCTTTCTTGTAAAATGTCACAGCACACTGTTCCTTCTTACCAATGAAATACAGCCGTCACACTGTCAAATAACTTTTTTCTCCCAGTGTCAAAAGAACAAAGCGAAACAAGGGCTCAGTTTCAGACCAAGAAAAGTACTCCAGGAAGTTGGCAGGAGCAATTAATTACTTGTCAACATCTCCCTCAGATCTGCATAAAGTAGAAAAGGTGCCCGTTTGGCTTTGCTCTGCTCTTTATGTTGCACTATTCTGCTCCTTTCCCAACAATGTCCATCAGCCTGGCATCTGAATGCCTGTTGGATGTTGATACATCAGGCCCACTCCATCAGATTCTCCACTGAGATAATTCAGTATGACCCATCTGAAACTATTGTGTTTCTTCTGATTTGTGTCATATTAGCTCCATTACTGTTTACCTTCGTCTCAAAGAGAGAAGTATTAGCGTGCATTTCTCCGTGTGCAAGCTGATGATGGCTGTTAGTGTATGGATGTGCCTTTTACCCAGTCAGTCACACACGGTGGCAGATGTGAAAACCCAGAGGCATACCCAGATGGAGGCATATAATCTTTAAGCTCAGAATTAGCCATATGTGCACGTACATAGGCTTATGTGCAAGAATAAATACGGGGATATGAAAACTACATCTCACATCTGACCATGTGTGGACACAGTCCAAATGTCCTTACAGTTGTCTCTAGTGAGACTGCTTTCTTGCTCTTCCTTTCCCAGCTACACAGGCATAGAGAGTTAAAAGAGCACAGCAGGGATACAGACTGCTCTGGGGGATGCTCCTCTAGGTGCTGATGAATTGCATACGGGAGCAGACCCATCAGCCCCAGCCCCATCAATTCAGGAAAGACAGAGGCTCGACAGCATTCAGTTGCTGGCAGCACGCTTATATCACATGGCCTTTGACAGGTCACTGCTCCCCTCCCTGGGGAAAGCAGATACATAATGCAGGAATGCGCAGTCACTGGAGAGCTCATGTGGTTCTCATCAGCATCCCAATCCTCAGCGGGTGGGACTGCTCTCCCACACATAGCTTTCCAGTGTGTCAGCACCCCTGCATGAAGCCATAGGCTGGCTCTGCTCATCTCCCTCAGCTGTTCCGTGTTGGTGGAGTTTACAGCAGGTCAGATGCTGTGCCTCCTTCGGTCACATAGTGACAGAGGCACTTGCTTACTTGCCAGATTTTCTCTCCCCCAGAGCATCTCTTCACTTTCCACTTTGATTTTCTGGCCAGCTCTTCGATCTCTGCCCTGTCAAGATAACCTGAGTGTGCTATTTACCCCACTTCCATGTCTGCCTCCTGGTCTGGTAAGGAGCACATTGAACTTCAACTCTCAGAGGCACAGTCTGTCCAGCTATGAACACAAAATTTTGTACTACACACTACCCATAGTTACTCTGTGGTTCTTTGTCTTAATGGCCTGTTGTTGTAGTGAATGCTATCTGGGCAAAAGATTTTAGAAAGTACACCTGTTTGTTTTTTTTTTTTTTTTTTTTTTAAATCAGGTTGCTCCCATTGCTTATGGAATTTTTGCTACACCATTTATTTTCCTCTTTCAAATTAGATGCAGCTAGGATTTTTATTAGTAGGTTTCCTTTAAACTGATTTAAGAAAAGGTTCATTTAGAGAGAAACTTAGATTTTTAATGGACTAAATCACCTGCTGGACCTCTGTCTGGGTAACAGGGGGAGGTTAACATGCCCACTATTATAACATCATCTAGTGCTTATATTCAGGTTGGGTTGAATATGAGAGTGTTTGTTGATGATGCTGTTGATCCCTACCAGCAGTTATGAGAGAGGTACTGGCTTTGTGAGTGCTTAGCTGGGAAGGATGGAACTTGCGTGGTGGTGCACTGAGACGCACCAAAGTTTGGATGCTGCCAGCAACACTCGCAGGCTGTTATGTGCTTGATAAGAAGGCAGCTTCACATCTGCACCCACGCAGATAAGATTCTGCTCTGTGGGGATTTATCAGGCTGGAAAGCTGGCGTGGCCAAGCACTCTGTGGCTCTCTATTTTCTTTCACAGTCTTCACTGAGAAATGAAGGCACTTCAACCCCGACACCTTGCTGCATATCTGCCAGTTTGCCTGGAACTCTAAATCAGTTCCTTACATATCAGTGGGCCATAGCTTGAGGATACAGGCTGGCACGGAGGAGCAGAGACTGCAGGGCAGTGTAGGGGTAAGTGAAGCACGTTGGTGCTTGTGAGCTCCAATGCAGCATGTTTGCAGATACACTTCCCAAAGCAGACTTGCACTCAGGTTCCTCATACTCTCACCTCAATAATATAGTCTTTTCCGTCTTTGCTGTGGACAGCTTTGACAGCGCAGATGTCAAGACCTCCAAACATTTCCGCACAGGCGTCTGCCCAGAGTCTGTACCTGCAGAAAGCACAAAAGCATGGCCTAGGATTACCTGTCATTGGGTAGTCCACCAAATACAGACACCCACCTTGCTGCCCATAGCAACACAAAGAGAGATGGGAGCCCTTATTACAAGGCATCCTTCATATACTTTGCTGGGTGATTGCTTCCCTCTCTTGCGCAGGAGATGGAGCAAAGAAAAAAAAACTTGCCTGAAGTTTCCCTTCATTTCAGATTGATTCAATCCTGCCCTCAAAGCCACTTTAAAATATTTCTTTCCCTCCTTAGTATTTACATCAGATCTCCAGTTGGTTGTTATTCAGCCAAGCTATAAATATTTAGCTCATTTAATCTCCCAGTAGTGTTGGTCCCTCAGCGTTTGTATTGGCTTTGCCTGAAAGCCCTCCATTATGCAGGCAGATTTCTCCTGATAAGGTGTCCTGCACATTGGGACTGGAATAGGATTGGAAAGTGAGTGTTGAATTTAGCTAATAGCCATCCCCTCCCTCATCTGTAACCCAGTGGCTCCTGCGTTTTGCAATTTACTTTCAATTTTATCTTTTTACAGTCTCCTGTCTCTCTTCTGTCCCCTGGGTGTTGCTCCTACTCAGGTGGTCTCGTCACATGGACCAGGCACTCTTTTGTTAGAGGGAGAGTTAAAGGCTGCAGTCCTTTTCTTTAGCCATCCCGGGATGGGAAAGTGAGCTGGTACCCCCTTAGCTATCCTTGTGTCAGAAGAGAAGAGAGAATGACAAGAGGCGTATTATAGGGGGACTGCATCCCCCCACTGTGGAAATGAGGAGGGAATGAGGCAGCTTGGTTTTATTTCCTGTGCAGCTGTGCTGCAGTCCTGGCCATTTAAATAAAAATAATCATCTCAGAAGAGCAGATCTGTAAGCAGGACTATGACAAGATGCAGAGAGGGGAGGGAAGGCCACAGTCTCATGAAAACACTGACATTTTGCAGACCCTACAGGGACTGGGGAAAGAACTGTTCTGGCCAAAGGACAAGTTTACATCCTCGAAGCCAGCCAGAATCCCCATAGCTTGACAATATAATGATCAACTTGTGTGAACACAATGTCTTTGCGAAGAAGCAAGATTATGACTTATATGACTACTGGTGCTCTTTGATCCCTAATGAGGAGACCAAGTATGTTCACCCCAGATCTTCAAGGAAGACAGTGTCTGAGGAGGAGTCAGCAGCATAAGGAGTAGGAGAACTACGGAGCCTGTGAGCCAGGCAGGAGGCGATGCTGTGTCCCCACATCCAGGGGCACCATTGTGAGAATCACCTCTGTTCCTGAGGGACATCTCTAGGTGTCTGGATTTAGCAGCCAAGTTTAGGGAATTGTTTCTCATGCCAGAGAACCTGATAGCTTTATGCACCAGGGGTTGCATTTTCAGAGGATTTACTGCCATTTTTATGTTACCTTAGCATGTAGATCCATTGGATTACTGTTCACTACAGTAGGTGCTTCAGGTTGCTCTTATTCATCACAGCATTTCAGCCCACTCCTGCCTTGTTGCACGCACTGATGACTCACAGATTTCAATGAGACTTTTTGCATTTATGGCTGGATAAGGCTAGAGTAGTAAATTGTGGTACTACATCTATAAAATGAACCTTCAAAATGCAGTGTGGCAGGTTGTCAGGAATCTGGGTTTTAGTCTTACAGCACTGGATTAGGTAATGTCTACCCTTCTCTCTAGCTTCAGCTGTGTTATAAACAACCAGGATACATTAAAATGCCCAGCTCCCACAGTACTATTAGGGTCGCACCAAATCACCTTCAGCATCTGATCTGGGGCTTGGCTTGGCTTCCCTCTTTCACAGAACTAAAGGTGCAGAAGGGACCTCAGATGATCACCTGCACAACTCTCACACCCCAAAGAGGAGACATTTCTTTAGTCTGCTCTGAAAGAGTACAGAGATTTCCCATCTCTGGGAAATTTTTGTGGTATGCCATCCTTACTGTTAGAAAATATAGGAAATTTTCAAAGGAACTTTTTCTGCTATAATTTAAGCCCATTATTTCTTACAATATTTTACTAATAATATAAGTAGTGAGAAATGCCTATTAGCAGCCTTTCATATATTTAAAGAGATTGTGCTTTTTTAGCTTCTTCATCTTTAAGACAAAATGGTGTTCAGCTTGTAGGCAACTTCTTCCAGCTGTGTAACAGCTAATGAGTGAAATTGAACCTCTGTACTGCAGGCATGAGTCTACACCTCTACTGGAAAAATATCAATGGTCTTCTAACTGAAAAAGGTGGAAAACTACATAAGCAATTGTTGCATGTTTTTCTCATCAGTTGATTATGTTTTCTCTGAATGTTCCTTTTATTGGTCTTTGGACTCTCTCCAGCTCCTTGGTATTTTTCTTCAAATACAGTGCCCTAACCTGGACAGAGTTAGAATTAACCATGATCCTGACAAACTGGAGGTGTAATCTGAAAAAAATCTTAGATTCACGAGAGATGAGTGCCTACATGTCATCTATGGAGTCTATAAATTTATGAATAATCTACTTAAATAGGATGGAGAATAAGTGACGAGAACAAGTGACTTGATGGCAGTTCTGCAGAATAGGGTTGGGAGTTACAACAAAGCACATTATGAGTCCACAGTGTCATGGATTTGCAGTGTTAGCAAATATCACAGTGATTTGAAGATATGGAAGTACCATCTGCAAATATCTGTAAGATGCACGAGGGAATTCCTTCTGCTCTGTTCAGCAGTGAGAAGACCTCAGCTAAAACAGTGTCCACTTTTGGGAGACTACGGCAAAAAAGTGCTTTCAGCACTTCAGCTGACAGTTTTTTTCCTCTTTTAAGCAGAAGAAAAACACTTTTCTGAGTCTGTCTCTCATTAGTAATGTACTTAGAATAACTTCTTGTTACTTCTTGTTTTGTGCTTTGACCTTTCTGATTTTATCCCTACATGTTTGTGCTGGTGTGCTTGACCTCAGCATGCTGGTCTTGTTTCCTGTGGCTACATTCACCAAAGATCTAATGATTTAGCAATGTTGGTTTCTAGCTGTACTTTCAGTCTGTTCTTCAAAATAGGACAGTTTGCCTTTGTGTCCTTAGTATTTTTTAAGGAAACACTCGGTCTTTTAAACTCCTTTATTCAGCCTCCCAGGAGACCTCACTTACCAGTTCTCTCAATTAACCAAAGTCTGAAATACAATTCCTCCCTTCTAACCCAAGAATAGCTAATACTGTCTTGAAACCCTCTTCCTTACCTCTCTGTCATTGCAATCTGTTCTAGCATCGCAGAACCTGTGTTTGCCTTCCAGTTTCCAGAGATGGACGTCCTCCTAGGAAAACAAACCAAAAACATAACCTGAACATGAAAATAGACTCCTACCCCATCCTCACGGATACTGTAGTCCTCATTCTTGACTCTGTGCTTGTACAGGAGGGGATGAGGTGAGGTTCTTCCTCCCAGAAGCCTTTCCAAATCCTTCCTGAACAACACTCCATACAGGATAAGTTGTTCAAACTCATGAAAAGCTGAATGAGGAGTTAGACAGGGAAATCTCCAAGGAATCCTGAGCACACATCAGGCTCTGTGAGTACTTTCTTTCTTTGTAAATCAGACCTAGGGGGAGCTGAAATGTGTGTAGAAGATCTCTGGGATAATCACCCTTGTGTTCAGCAATGGGTAGCATCCTCCGTCCATGGAAGACCAACTCTCCAGGCAAATATTTGCCTGAGCAGCTTCACAAATGTCAGCTCTGATATTCTGTGTCTACCTAAATTTGATTTCAATTGTACTGATGTCGCAGAATATATGATCATGCTGCCTTTTCACCATTCACCTGTCTGTGGCTCACTGTGTTCGGGCTTAGAGAATTTCTGCTTGTAAAATTGCTGGAGTTTCATTAGTTGCAGCTGGTGGCTAATTTCCAAAAAAGGTGCTGTTTCTGGCAAGTCCTGGGTTTCACCATCATCCATCAGGGTGAAAATTTTCCTTTTCCTGACCTTAGGCCCAAGGCAGACCTTGAACAGCCTGCTGCGACAACAGTGTACAGGTAACCCTTCCATAGTGTACAAACTAGGACAAATCAACAAGCTGACAGGATACATCCAGGGAGCATCTCCATGCAGAAGAAGATTTAGGTAGAGATTTATGATGGGAATACAAGGTGTGATCCAACATTTCAACGTGAGATTGTGGGAGCCCTTGCTTCCAATTCTCTCACCTTTTCAACATGATGTGCAAAAGAGACTCTGAACTTGCTAAACTATGTTCGGCAGTGGGAATACTGATGTCCCCATAGACTATAAATTTGGATAATTATCGCCAACTACCTAAGATTCCCCTTTACTCTGGTGAGTGGAGTGCTTTTTTCTATTTCTTTTTTAAAGTGGTATGTATAGTTGCTGTGACATTTAAATTGTCTTTTTAACCATATTTGAAAGAGTGGAGGGGGTGGCAAAGGAGCATTTACTCTACTGATTACTGTGTTGCATAACTACGTGATTCCATATCTCTTACCCCTTGTTGCCTTCACTCAACATCCATTTTGCTGTCCTACTTTCTAAGCAGAAGAATGGATTTCTTCTCAAGCTTTGAATGTTATGAGCCCTTTGATGACCTGTAAGATCAGTGTTCAACCCTCAGACTCTCTTTCTCTTCTGACATGGGATTCTTAGGATTATGTTTTTCAGCTCTACAGTGGGAAGGACCACTCTTTGATAACATTTATTTTTAACTGAAAAATTGCCCTGCAGTAGCAGATGGCATCCAGAATCCCATTAGTACTGACGGGAACTCCTGGAGTCTGATTAGCAACAAGATAATTTGACATCAGTGTTTAGAAAATGTACCTGGGATACCAAATGTAAGCAGTTGTGTTGTCCCTAAGAAAATGAAAACACAGCTAGACAGTTTTACAAGGAAATTTGACATTGCAAAGCTCCCAAAATAAGAACTCTGCTCTAGCCATTGGGCTGATTTGTTTGATTTGTTTATGCCTTCTGATCCCCAGTCAATATTGGGCATAAGACATAAAATATATCTCTCTGCTGTATTCCTAACTTTCTTGTAAGGGAACTGTGCCATTTTGAAACTGAAAAGTTTTATTTGAAGCCCACTGAATCAGTCACCGAATTCCCACACCACAGCCTCTGTCAAGATCATTCCCTTCCAAGTATGTCTGACCAGTTCAGGTGTCAACTGTGCCCCTAAACTGACAGAATCACAGAATATTCTGAGTTGGAAAGGACCCACAAGGATCATCAAGTCCAACTCTTAGCCCTGTACAGGACCATCCCCAAGAGTCACACCATGTGCCTGAGAGCATTGTCCAAATGCTTCTTGAACTCTATCAGGCTTGGTGCTGTGACCACTTCCCTGGGGAGCCTGTTCCAGTGATCAACCACCCTCTGGGTTAAGAGCATTTTTTCTAATATCAACCCTAAACCTCCCCTGACACAACTTCAGGCCTTTAGGTCCTGTCACTGATCACCACAGAGAAGAGATCAGTGTCTGCCCTTCCAGTTCCTCTCACGAGGAAGCTGTGGACTGCAATGAGGTCTCCCCTCAGTCTCCTCCAAGCTGAACAGACCAAGTGACCTCAGCTTCTCCTCATATGGCTTCTTTTCTATTTCCCTTTTTCTATTGTATAAAGTGAAAAAGGAGCCTGAAGACAAAAATCCCTAAGAATGTCCTGCTTCAAACCCCATTTTTCTCAGGAAATGAAAGTCAAAGTGCTTCCAACCATCCTAAACATCAGGGGGCCACACAGTGTACGGTATCCTAAAGGAGAGGACTCTAGGCTCTTAGAGATCTGTTGATCAAACAGATTTGTGACCAAGACACCTTCAGCATTGTTTAGGATAAGTGGATAAACTAGCAGATGAAGAGCTGTTGGTGTCCTATACTCACCATCTCTAAACTGGGCCTTTTCAGTCTATAAGTAGCTCTAGTTTAGACACAGTTGATGTGGTATCTCCTGCAGAGCACACTGAACTGAATTGGAGGTGACAAGGTCAGAAGTCACACTCATGAAACTAGAAAGGAAGGGTGTTACCCTTTTACTAAGAGCTGGTGGCAAGATTATCCCATGCCTTCAAGTCAGCAGCTTCTGGCTTAATTCAAAGTGAACAACATTTATATGAGTCTTAGCTGAAAATGTTTTTCCCCAGTTCGGGTGAGAGTGGAAGCATAATTTCTGCTCCAGTTTCCCCTGCAACGTGAGCCATATTCATGTTTTCTCTTCACCCACATTATGATGGCAGTCAAATACATTTGGTGGAATTTTAGACATGTATCACATGCTGCTTATCTGCTGTTTTGAGACTGGCCCAAGGCATGGGCTAAGTAGGTGTTTGTTAGCAGTGTAAATCTGGAGTCACTGTACTGAAGTCAATGGGAAACTGAACTGAAGCCTTGGGTCATGGGCTGGAAGGAAGTGCATTGGACATCTGGGGCAGGGAGGAATGCATGAGTCACCCTGCAGCATCCTCCCTCTGGCAGATGCTTGGTGCAAAAGTAAACATATTCTGAAGAATTTCAGTACAGTCTTTTCTCAGAAGGAAAGGGGCTTTTAAAGTCTATATGTGTGGGTGAAGGTATCAAAATACTGGATAGATTCCATGGCTCACAGATCAAAGAAAGTAACTTAGTATGACGCTACTGCAGATCCTGGAATTGCCTTTAAGGCTGAGATTTGCTAGCATGACTAATGATTTTGAGTCTTCTATTTGGGACACCAGTGAGAGCTCTGGTATTTTGGATGCTTTCACCTCTGTCCTCGGACATAGTATGGACTTATTTATATCATAGAAACAACCTTCTGTTTTGTCTGATGCTGGGATAGAAGGAACAGTCCCTGATGGGACTGACTGTACCCCTCTCCCAAGCTCACATCCATAAACGGCTCTCTCAATGCAAGTCAACCTTCTGGGTTAACAAGTCACTGGATGAATTTTGCTGTTTGCTTTCTTTGCTAATAAGCTTCATTTCTCATTAAGGTGTTTTCTGTTCATGACTGTTTTCATATGAAAATGTTTTCCCTTTAGCAAACAATTGTTTGCACAGCTATACTCCCAAGTGGGATTAGCTCTTAGTGTGACTGCTTTCTTTCCTCAATCATCTGGTATTATTTCTGATCCCTGTATGAAGGAGTGCATGATGAGTGAATAATAAGTGAGGAGAGAATATGGTCAGGCTAACTGGGCCTTTGTTTCAGTTAGAGGCAGTTGGGGAGCAGGCTCTGGAGCCAAGGCTGGGTGTGTTGGCAGGAATAGGGAATTTTAATTGATATTTTAAACCTTCTTTCCTTTGGCCAATTTGAACTGGACTCCCTGAGATGTTAATGTAATGTTAGGCAACTGTGCTATTGTTGACCTGATCAGATTAAAAATAAATTTGCTCTCATTGAGATCACATGAAGTAGGCAAGTGTCCCACAAGTCCTTCCCATGAAGAATGTGACTCAGTCATTATCTAGTTTTCTTAAATACCTCTGTACTAGGAATATAATTGGGAATCTTAGGCAGTTATAGCTGAAAAATATGTGATTATGTACATTTGATGATCTTGTTTAACTACATTTCAGCAGAACTATGGCCTGGAGGTTTGTAAACATGGACCCAAAATTCACAGCGTTGTGGGTGTTAAGTAACATATGCAATTTATCTGGCAACCTGAAGAATGTATTGCTGGAGATGACTACTTGTCCAGAATTTTGTGGCTGGATAAGGAGCTTCTGGAGAAGCTGTACTATGTGGCTTTTCTCATCTACTGGTTTGCAGTAAGAAGAAACAGGTGTCTTACTGACTCATGTGGTTACATCTCTAATTCAGCTTGGTGACTACTGAAGTTTGGTTGAATGCTTTTTAATACTTTCAAGCATACCAGCATTGAGGATTGCCTTCCTGCCACCCACCTCACTGCCCCGCAGGGCAGGGAGGAGCTTTGGGGCACCCACAGAAATGTCTTACCTCCTTTACCTCCTTTGCATACCTCAAGGAGTACACATGCAACACTCCCAAATAAACCCCACATGCTAGTCTGTCTGAGGCCGTTCGTACCCAGTGCTGTGAGCTCCTCGGGTCCTCATGTGATTGTGGGACTGTGATCTCCAGCTGGGCAGAGGGTGGGGTGTTGCTGTGGGCTGGAGGATGGGGTGTTGCTATGGGTTGGACACTGTAGGACTCCATGAGTTGCAGCTGGCTAAATCTTTTTTATTCCCTCCCCTCCAAGTGGGAAGAGGGTGGGTTCAGGTCCCAATAGAGGGTATTTGGAGTTGGAGGATTTTGCTGGGAAAGAGGAGCCCTTCAACAACAGGATGGAGAGGTAATGGCAGAACATAGTCATTATATTGGGAACTAACTGAGTCTTAGAAACAGGTAGACAGAGAATTACATTCCAGATACAATGAGCTGATGGTGAGTAAGGGAGAGGATGATCAGGGGATGAGGAATCTGGGTTCAGAGGTGGGAAGAGAACAGCAGGGCTATTCTTCAAGGAAGTTAAGTCAGCTTCCTACTCCTGCCCAGAGCAGACACTGACTCAGCCACATCCACAGTGCCGTCTCCTCCCCGTCTCGCTCTGGCACAGCCATGCACTCACATGTAAGCCTTGTAGTTGCCGCCAATTTTCTGGATTCGGATGTCATACTTGGAGTCAATGAATGGCTCGGTGGTGGCATAGGTTTTTGCCATGGCTACTATGCTGGCCATGTCCCGGAAGTCGTGCTGGTTCTCAACTTTGACCTTGATTATCAAAATCCAGTGAAAAAGAGACAAGAGCAAAAAGAACAGGAATACTTTGTGAGCAGAAGTCATCTCCACACCTGAATAGCACAATGTCAGCTTAACCCCACACAGACAGAGCCGAGGACAGAGCAGGGACTCTGTGATTTAAAGAGAGAAGTTCCCCAGACCAACCAAACCCAGAGCAAATCAATCCCATTCTCCTTCCTCATGCACCAGCCTTGGTAAACCTGGCACCAGGGAGGCAGCTAGAGCTTTACCCAAATGGCTCTTGCTAATGCACATTGCTTCCATGTTGCTTCAGAAAAATATTTGATCTCTTAAGGGGCATTACTTCATTCAAACGTTGAAACTGCTATTTCCCATGTTGGGATGGATGAAAATGGAGTATTTTAGGTGGTCAGGAAATAGAAATAAATGCCAGGAAATCAACATGAAAACTGATTGTCTGCCAGCCCGAGGGACCAGGTCCCTGGCATTTCACATTATCCTCCTCTAGGCTTTCTTTAAGAAGTGGTGCAGGTCTCCAAACTGGACACAAGCTCTGAAGGAAAAGGATGTCTCTGGGAGAGCTTGTGACACTTGGGGAGATTTGTGTGAGTGTGAGGCTATGGGCATGTGTGTGGGACAGCTGGTTGGATGCTAGACTTGATTCAGACTTTGAAATGAGAGGGTAGTTGCCTATGAGCTGGAGTTTTTCTGAAAAGATGGCTTTTCACAAATCTGTATTCAGTTATGAGAAATGCTCTGTATCTTACCCCAAAAATAATAATAAAAACCCCCCAAAAACAAAAAAAGGACCAAAACAGTAGAAATTCTAATTATATGATCAAATCTCTACAGAAACTCATTGATTTGGGAAAGCAAAACTGAACAAGCAGGTAACAAAAACATAATGGATAACTTCACCTCACTCATATCTTTAACTCTGGACTTTAGTGTATTGGTAAAAATTTGTTTGGTGCATCAGGAAAACCTATGCAAGTTCTTGCTCCTTAGGGCTGGACAGATGCAGAAAGGACAGAATAATTTTTGGAAAAAGACCAAGACTGGGTAAAAAAGGGTTAGCAATGAGTGACTTTCTTTACATTATTACTTATACTTTGTATTTTGGTAATGCTTTGAGATCACAACTGGGGACTGCAACCCTGCTTTGCTAAGTGTCCATTCACTCATGACAATGGATCAGTCTCTACCCTAGAAGAGTTTCCCAGTTGTGTCAGTGTGTGTTAAAGGAGGGTGATGCCAGACTGTGTGGAGCCAGCTGAAGGAAACACGTGCAATGGCATTTGGTGTTTCTTCGCAAAGAACAAACAAGTGATTTTACATATCTGCCTTCAACCATGAGAGGGCAGGAGCCATCTTCACTAGAGAACAGAGGACAAGCCTGTTGCTAACCTGTTTTACTCTGTTTAGACAGTTTTGTAAATGCCAGCTTACACATTGGCCAAGGATTCAGCCACATCCTGGAGCAGAAAAAGTCTTAAAAACTGAACAGTTTTGGGGAAGGTGAAAAGTACAACTAGTTTGACCCATAACCATTTCTAGATGCCTGAATAAAAAAAAAGACCTGGTCTTCGCTTCTCCTTATGCTAGCTGCAATACCCTGAGTCCTCCTCCCTCTTGCTGTGGTGAGGGCTGTGCTCTCACTATTCAGGAACTGCCTAGGAAAGGAGCAGAGGAATATGACAGTCATCTGTGGGGAGGGAGGGTACCAAAAAAAACCCCACCATCAAACACAAAGGGGATATGTAAAAGCAACCATCACAAGGCATCCAGAACAAGCAGCCTTGCTCTAGGCTGTGTTGCCTTCTCTATCTGAGTGGGGATGTTGGTGGTGTGGCAGGGCAGGGTGAGGTGGCAGGAATGCCCCAGAGGCAGTGGGAAGAACGGAGAGGGAACCCACAGCCTGGGCTTGCAAAATACCAGGGGGAACAATGCAGGCTGTGTTGGAGCTGGGTATTTTTGTAGCACAGATAAGAGCTGCCCTGGGCTGAATGACATCAAGCAGAAGTCCCACCCAGATGAGATGATTGCAGGAGGGATTGCATGGGCAGGAGGCACTGACACGGTGTTACAACATATTCTCCCAGACCCTTTTGGCAATGAGAAAATACAAAAGCCATTATATAATGACCTACTTGGAACAAGGACACTTTTGGGATCTAAAACAAAGTGTTATGCTTGTGCAACAGATGTCTTTGGGCCTCAAATGAAATGTTTGCATCCTCAGCCCAGGAACATTTGTCCCAGAGGCAGAGGAAGGGATGCAACTTCCCTCTCCAAACTGGAATTAGATGATATTGTTATTTCTAGAAAGGAGCTCATCTTGTTAAATGGAATTTTTCCTCAAAAATACAGCAGCTAAAGAAAGGAAGGGTCCCTTTCTTCCTTCTCTCCATCACCCCTTCCTTATGGGGAGAGAGGAAAAGCACTTGAAAGAAAGTGTTTTCTTGAATGGGCCTGAGGATTTTTGGCTGGGTTAACAAAGAGGGGGGGACTCACCAAGGACACAAAATAAGAAATTAAAAACAAAGAAGACGATTCCCACAGTACTACACCACTGCACAGTCCTCAGGAAACAGCTCTGACATCTTCCCCGGCCTGTGCCAGAGCACTTCCCATGGAGTTTTCAGAGAAAGAAACTCACAGTGGTCCCCTTTTAGGAGATACAGTCTTATTTCCCACCAGGCATCAAAATAATCACCACACCAAAGCTGAAATCTGAGCCACCATTTGTTAATTGTTAGAGCCAGCCAAATTTGAGAAAATAACAGCCGTGTCCTGGGTTAACGCTGGTTTAGTCCAGGGTACGCTTATTACTTCATAAACAGGATGCACTCAAGTTACAGTCAAATTAGATTTATTTTCTTGCCTTATCTATCAAGTCCACCATTTTATTAGCTTTCTACTTTTAAATTTTGTATAATTCATTTCCTCCTGCCTTGTAACCCTTTTAGATGTCAATAAAATATCCATTCTCTTAACAGGAGAAAAAATCCCAGACATAACCAAAGCCAGTGTGCACACAGTGTGACACCAGAGGGCATTATTTAAGAAGAGGTTATTAAAAAATCATTCCAGAGCAAAGTTACCAATTTAGCTAATAAGAGACAAATCTGTCTTCTAAAATGGCGGGTTGGCCAATACATGAAACTGATAAAAAAAGTTGGAAAGAGATCAGCATGAAGGCATTTCTCTCTCTCTCTCTCTCTCTTTTACTTTGCAATCTTCTTAGGATAAATGCTATATCCCATTAGCTGCATAGAGGAGTGCAAACAGCAAGTGCAAACACAGCCCCTGCCCTGGCAGCCTGTTTGCTTAGCTGTGCTGGCTGTTTGAGCAGCAATAGACTCATTCTGGAGCCATAAGTTGCTGTTTGCTGTAGTGTTTTAGTGACCTGTTGTGAAGAGTTCGGGCCAGTGTGTTGACAAATGCCTTTTCTGAGTAAGAAAGCTCCCTGGGATAGTTCCTGCTTCCCTTCTGGCTCTCTTCTCTAACCCAGGCACTGGCCAAACCCTAGCATGTTTCCTGTTGCTGCATTGCAAAGGGGACTCTGGCTGGATCTCTGGGGACAAGCTCACACAGAGGTGATCATCCCTTTGCCCCGTGGTGGCATCTTGGAAGCTGATACTACATGACCTGCTGGTGCCTGTTCCCATCCTCAGCCTGCCCAAGAAACACTGACCTTTCTGCCCTTGGCTGGAGAGCAGTCCAAGCATAGGTCAGGAGGAAACATCAGACCTTCTTTTGAGGCCTTTCTGCAAGGCAGGATTTTGTATGTGGTAAAAACTCACCATGGATATTTCCTGGACTGTCTGAGCCACACCTGAGATCTGAGTGAGCACAGATTCCTTCAGAGAGGGATGTGGGTAGAAACTTCTGCTTCCTCTGTCCCAAGGTTCCATAATCTACTGCATCTTGTACATCCCAGATGTTCCTGGACACCAGGGTTCCAAGGGTACAGCACTTCTCTCTCATCTTAAGCCTAGGCACTGCAAAGAATTCCTTCACAGTCCCCTTTTGTTTTCATTAGTTATGTGGCCATATGAAAAAATAGTCAATTAGCCCAAGTGCCATAGTTATCTTAAGCATTAAAATCTGCAAGGGCTGCCCTTGTCTCTCTGAGCATCATCCAGTGTTAACTCTGCCTTACAGGTTAAACACACATCACCTTGGAGATGACTTGCAGAAGCACTTTCTGAGTCCAAACTGAGGTTAGAGAGAGGTTCAGCTGGAAGGTTAAGTGTCCAAGGCTGAGCTTGGCAATGTGGTGTGCAACTGATCCTTGGTTGGCTTGTGAAAATGCACTGTCTGAGTGTTTTCCTCCAGAGGAACTGGTGCAGCCACACAAAGATTGTGATTTTTTTGTCCATCTCAGCCTGTGCTCAGCCTTTCTGTATTGACCTTACCATTTTGGGATAGTGGGTCTTCAGGAATGGTTCTGCACAGAGGGCTTTCTGAGTCTCTTCTTTAGCCCAGATTATACTCCAGTTCTCAGAAAATACCTGATCCAACTGACGCACAGTTTAAGCCTAACTTTGACCCACCTCAAAATTATAAAGACACAGTGGAGTCTGCATTTCCTTATTATCCTCAAACTGAAATTCCCCCACACATTAAAGATGATGCCTTTAATGCATTAAACCTTCCTAGTAAAGAGGCCAGGTCTTGGTAGCTTTGGTGCCCAGTGCCCTGGATCAGTCACTGTTTTCTGTGTCCAGCAAAACCTTTCAGACTGATGTGCAAGAAATGGGGATGTTTTGGCTATTTTCAAGACAGTTGGAACCTCCTCACTCATGAGTCAGTGGGAATGCAGTGATTGGGCTGCTCTGTTGTGAATGAATGTTACATGTCAAGTCATTATTTGTCCTCTGTAAAAGAAAATATTTGTTCCTTGACAAACCGAGGCAGCCCTTTCCCCTTCCTTTCCTCTTTAGCACACTGGATTTTCAAAGCTCTTGCTTTTGGAACATTCTATTTCCAGTCCCGAGAGAGACAAGGTGACGAGCTGTCCTTCCTGATAAAAACCTTGCAGTATTTTTACATTACAGAGTGGCTCTGTTTAGTTTGTGCTATATTTATACCATGGAAAAAAAAGAAGCAGAGAAGTCTTTCCCATCCAGTAAGAGAGAAAATAACTCTGACCATATTATTATGAACAACAAGTTTTTCTTCTACAATGTAATAAATTTATCTGAGACAGGATTTGTACTGGGAAGGTATTTTCATAATTATGGGGCAGGATGGGACACAAGGTGACTCTTAAGCTGACCTAATTAGAGATGTCTAAAAATAAAGAAGTCTAGCAAAAAAAAAAGATTAGATTAATATAAATATATATAAAATCACATGAACAGATACTGTTTTTCCTCTCTTTGCAGATCTGGCAGTGGTTTCCTTCTCATGATCTGATCAGGAAGAGGTGAAGGGGTTCTTTGAGTGCATTTGCAGTGCTGGGCTCTGTTCCTAGGGCACTTTAGGGTCACGTTAGCACACAAATGGCAGATAATAACACACTCAGAGCTTTATTCTTTTCCGTGGGCTCTGGCATGATGAGATCCAGAGCTGGGAAGAAGTGTTATTCCTTTCTCACTGCAGTGCTCACCCTATACAACAGAGAACCTCAATCACTTCTGGGGTGGGTAGGCTCAAATGGCACAATGCTTAAAACTGCCTTGACCTCTAAGGAACTGCCGGGTAAGCAACAGTTCTGTTCTGCACAAGGAAGGATATCTCCTCTCAGTGTCCATTCATGGCTTCCCTGGAAGATTGCTTGAGTACTGTTGATCCCATGAATCTGAGCAACTTAAGTACATGAGAAAGGTCCTTCTCTGCCAACTCCATTTTAAGCTGTTGTCTAAGCAGTATTTCTGCACATATTTTATGTGTATCAGTACTGGATAGGACCAGCAACACAGAGAGCACTTGTTATGATCTTCCAGTGCCACTGAAATATGAAGTGACCCCAATTTTTGGAAGGAGGATAACGATGGTCATGGGAGGGACTAAGAGGCATATGTTCCGTTTTTAGATTAGAAGATTGTCTGTCTCTGGGTAAAGGCTATTACTGGTGTCTCTGTTCAAGTCAATAGAGAGCCTGTTGTTTCTGCATTTCTCAATGGAAATTTCAAAAGATGCCTTTTATTGCAAATTTGTTTTCTTCATCTCCACAGGCACCTCACACGCACACATCACTTGGCAAGAGCATTTCTTTCAGTAACGGTATACTGTTACCCCTTCTGGTTCTGACCCTGAATACTAACTATTTCTCTTTCAAGCTAAAGACAGTTGTGATGACCCACCCTTAAGGGGAAGGCAGTCAATAGAGCCTGTTTTGTACAAGTCCTAACATCGTTATTTTTCATTTTAGCTTTGAGGATTCTTTGTTCAACCCTCTGACTAAAAAAATGTGGTGAGTGAATTTTGTGAAAATTATGCGAAAACAAACAATATGTGAAAATGAAAGTCTATTATAATTATGCTCTTTCTAGCAATTATTGCAAAATAATAAACACTCAGCACTTCTTATATTGCCAAGAGCCTTATGAATGTGAATTAGCAGTAAGTATCAGGTAATCATTATAATCCCTCTGGTCTGTAACACAGAGAAACTGAAGAAAAACTGTGAAATGACACCAATCTCCCTGCAAGCCGATGGAGGAGCTCTTTGGGGAAGAGGCATTTTCTGCGTCCAGAATTTTTCTGGCTCCTGGCCACTGCCTCAGTACAAATAAAGAATAACAGTGCTTGGACTTCCCATCTTTGCTCATTCTTCTAAGTCTTGGTGCCTCCCATTACAGGTGATTTTTTAATAACATAAAAAATGTAAGTACTTCCTTGACAATTTCTGTTGGTAATAAGATTGTAATCTGAATGCTCACATTCTTTGAAGCACTCATTGCAGGTACAAATACATGGCTCGCTATCTTGGCAACATTTGTTGCAGTAAGTACTATTTTTAATACTCACATGTGTACTTTGGCTAATAGGTTGGTTATTTTATCCTTTGTTTCTCCAGTCACTGCTTTAATACAAAAGATGACCTGATTCAGGTGCTGTATTAACATTTACTTTGTTACATTCATCAAATCAAAAGCAAACCTCTCTCTTTTCATATTACGTATGTTTTACAGCGAAAGATCTGATATTTCCTGCTATCATCTCTACTTCTGAAGACCAATGCAAAGGAATCCTTTAGCTCTCTGTAATCTCCTTATCATCACTGGTTATTGCTTTTACATTATGATGGTTAAAACCACAATAATGTCTCTCGGAAACTTTCCTCTTCTGAATTACTTGATTGTAGGTTTGACTTTTTTTTTAACCTATAGGTGTTACTTTTCTAGTATACCCATAGTTCTGCTTCATCTGTATTTCTCATGATGTTTTCTGTGGTTTTCTTTTGTCCATTCCACTTGGGCTTGAACCCTATTGTTTCAAAAACAACATGAAACAAATTCTTGTTACTCGTCTTTTAAACCAACTGACTTATTCTTTATTTTATTTTCTCTTTCTCTCTTCTCTTTTTGCTCTGTGTAATGAAATGCAGTGGGACTTCAAGAAAATTTAATTCGTCTCAACTTTCCTTCGGGCTGCTTGTGGCTGGAGAAGGGCCCAAACTAAAACTGTAAGGTCAACAACTCTTGCTTCCTGTACCTTCCCCATCTACTGAACAGAGCAGTGTTGAAACTCTGTGCCCAAATCCACATCCAGACCTTGCTAGTAGTCACTAATTTCATAATGGACTAAAGTAAACTTGGCCTCAGACCAATTCTTTCTTCTAAGATGCTGGCTGTTAGCCTATCTTCATCTGGAATGACTTCCTACGTACCCCCCTTGTACTGCTGAATACAATTGTGCCTGGAATTTGAATAGAAACTCTCTTCCTCTGTAACTTGTGACAGCAAAAATCCACATCATTAAAGAATAAAATGCGAGAGAAAGTGAGATGTGGAAGAAGATCTGGTGTGTGGTGCAGAAGACAATAGCTAAATGTTCTGCTGAGAGCTTTGTCTGGAAGCGTTGTTAAGACTGGGGTACTTATCTCTGATTCTGCCCTTATTTCTGTAGCCACTGAGGGTCCTTGGTGCATGAGACATGAAGCTCTCTCCACATTACAGGTGAAATGGCAGAGCAGTCAGAGAGATCCAGGCTTGTGGGGTCTCAAGAGAGAGGGTGGGGTTTCTTCCTCCTGGTTTTTCCTGGTTGGATTTTGCTAATGAAATCCATCCTAGGGACATGTTAGTGGCTCTCTACAAGCACCTCTGGGCTGTCTGCATGCACTCTAATTCAATGATCCCTTTGCCTGCTTAACATACGTATCACCAACATTTTAACCAACATTTCCTGCTTATTTTAAATGTTTGTTCCTTGATGCTGAAAGCCAACCCTACTACTGGCACAGGGATCTGCGCCCACTTCCTCTCTGGCAGCTGCCATCTGGACAGGGGAACATTGCAACCAAAGCAAGAAAGATTATGAGAGCTTCCATGTGCAATCCAGCAAGCCAGAAAGGGCTTCTGTTTCCAGAGCACAAGCAAACAGGCTGTACCAAGTTTAAGTTCGGTGCAAGTATATATAATTTTCAGGCCAGGATAAGGTCTGTCTGCTCTAGGGAAGCACTGTGACAGGCGTATCAGTTATGAAGTTCATCTACCACGCATTGGATTCAGAGATGATACATCAGAATTTCCTACTTCTGAACAAATCAAGTTTTAGACAGATAGGGAATGCCCTTTTAAAAGATATATTCAAGTAAGAGGAGACTAAAGTGTAGCAGGAATGTGCTGGCGATGCCTTACTGAGAGGGGAGCTCAGTCACCCCAAGAAACAGGGCCTGCTAATTCACTGGGGAAATAAAGATCCCAGAGAGCCTGGGAAAAACAAACAGGTCCTTCTGGGTAGTGAACTATTTTTCAGGATTCTTTGGCAGGCAACCAGCCACTTTGCTTTGTAAGGTCTTGTTCTTCCTTGCAAGGAGGAAAAAAAATAACTTGAAGGGCTCCCGTTTCTTGAATAAGGTCATCATAATGCACTCCAGAAGCCCAGCGCCACTGCTTCTCATTGTGAGAACTATGGGGTGTAGCTGCACATTACAGGTGCTTGAATAAACAACATTACCACTTTCAGAAGAGGAGAAAATATATAATAGACAAGCCTAATGACTTCAGCTGAGCCAGCTTTTCCCCCACTCTTCACAACCCCCCTTCCCACACCCCAGACAGCCTCCAACCCAATACCACAGCCTGTCTCCAAGTGCGTGACAGCAGAAAAAGGCCTTTTCTCCCACAGGAACAGCCAGTGCGACCCAGATAGGCTGTGGGGAGGTTTAACCCCTTTGCTGGCTGGCCACATGCCATGTATGATCGCAGGAAGGTTGTGCCACATATGTATTCGTTTCCGAAGTGATATATATTTTTTCTTTTACTTACCTTCCCCATTCCAGCATGAGCATGTCCTAGCTTGACCACTACAGGGAAATTTGGAGTTGTGAGCTGAAAGACAAAAGAATAAGCTCCTCATTAGTTATTTCTTTCCAGCCATGGTACTTTAAATAATTTTCTTCTATTTAGTAGCTTTTATCCCCTTCCTGGATGCTGATAGGAAAATAAAAAGGCCAAATAAAGTTTGTCTAGGTAGTAGGACAATAAGCAAATGGCTCTTTACTGGGTTCCACATGATTGGAAATGGAAGCCAGGCAGAATTGCTCAGATATTCTACTGTGTGATAGCAGTTTTCTCACCCTGTACATATGGACATGTGTACTCTCATATGCTGGTAAAACACAGTGACACTTGCAAGCTTGAGTAACTGGACACTTTCAGATGCTGAAAACATCTGAATTGTGAGAAAGACACGGTTTCTTTGTTCTTTACCACATAGACTCCTTTGGCCTTAATAGTGAATGTCCTCCTCCTGTCAGAGGGGAGGTGGGGGGTATAAGGAAGGAGTGAACTGGGGCCAATCCTTAGGTGAAACTCACGAAGTCCATCTGTCATGAAGCTTCCTCCTCTCTTCCCTTACTTCAGGGGTGGGTATAGTGAATAGAAGAAAACAAAGGGGTTGGAATCAGCAATTCAAAAAAAAAAAAAAAGTCATATCTTCTCCCTGGCTTGTGTGGTCTTTACACTGGGCAGGGTCCTACCACCCAAGTCATGCAAGTGCATCTTAGAGCACATGTGGGATTTTACTTGAAGAACTGTGAGTATCCTCTCTGCCTTCTCTTCTCCAGTTTCATGCTCATGCAAGGATTCACTTGGAGTGATTGGCTCAGAGCTGTGAGGCTGTACTGGTAGGAAGTGCACATGTCAGGAGTAACGAGAATAGATACACTACATCTCCCTTATGTACTGGTTAGTCCATTTCTACACCTCTGCTTGGTGTCCCTGTGATGTTCATCTTGACCTATGCTCATGATTCTTGTGATTGAAATGCTCTTCATTCAGTACATAACCAGTTATTTTTTATTACATATTTAATTTCCTTTAAAGACACTTTTGTCTTTACTTAAATGCCTGAAGCGATGACATCTATTCATTAAGCAGTTAACCTGGAGGTCTGGCAAAGGGAGGGAGTTGAATTTTGGCGGATAAGTGGGTCTCCTATTTATTGAAGTTTGAGAATAGGTAAACAAATTGTTCTTGTGCTAATTACCAATTGTCTGTATGGACAGGCAGGCACTACGCCCTAAAGATAGAATGGTGCTGCCGTCTCCATCTGTGGCAGATCACTATAAATAACAAAATTAGTAATGAACACTGATATGTTTTGCTATTCAGCTGCTTATATAAAGAAATGTCACAGGAGAGGGGAACAGTGAGTGTATCACGTTCTCAAGCAGCCTGTGTCACTTGTGAGGACTTTCTTCAGGCATAAAGCTGAAGGATTGTCTTCAGACCACGGAAGGGCACACAGCTGCAATAAATCACAGTCCTGTTATAGGCAGGGACCAGCACCACTGCTTCAGAAGAAGAGGCAAGAGATTGATAGATGGCCATCCTGAAGCCAAATAGTTAAGCATATGTCCAGGCACATGAGTTTGTGCTCTATTTCCCCTTCACCTCTCTAATTTATTGTAAGAGCCTGAAACTTAATTTGCTGCTGGCATAAATGAATCAAATGAAGGACTGCACCTGAGGCTTACTGAAGATAGGTCTAGGGGTGGACCATGCCAGGCCTTTAATGCTGAAAGATGAAAGGTAACCTAGTAGTTAGGGCACACACCTGCTCAGGCTTTGGGAGACGTGGCTCGCTTCCCAGCTCTCTCATCCTTACCCCGTGCCACCTGTTTGAGCGTTTGCAAGCCCTGGCCTCTGTTCCCTGTTTGTGAGCAGAGGCAGCAGCTGTTCCTACTGCACAGGAAAAACGAACTGCATGCTGTGAGCCTGCCTGATACCCTGGCAAGGAGGCCAAAGAAGTGTGCAGCATAGATAATGTTCTATCACCAGCTCAAAGCAGACAGAGGCAGGAAGCAATGTCTCTACTGCCCTGTTTGTGTACCCTGTGTACGAGTGTTGCTGAGGGAGCTTGGCTTGGGCATGAGGCCTGGGAGTGGGAAGCATCTGTTTTCCTGTATACATGCAAAGAAAGTTTGGGATCCAATAAACAACCCAAGTTTACTATTAGTCTGCAAAATACCACCGGCAATGACAACGTGCAGCTCAGACTTCTCCCTTTCTCTTTGCTTCTTGGAAACATGAGCTCAGCTTTCTTAGTAATGCTTGGTCTCATCCCATGTAGGGGTGACCAGCTGGCGCCAGAGCGTGTTGGGGTCACACACGGCTTGGCCTAGGCATAGTGTGTGGGGCTTGGGGTGAGACACAGATCCAGACTCTGAACATGAGATAGCCTAACTGGGAAAGCTGTGGTTTCAGAGTGGTAGAATCTGCCTCTGCCACTGAAAACCCACCGAATTTCCACATACATGAACCTGCCTTATGGAAGAATTAATGAGAGGCCATGGCACATACAGTGAGCTGCATTATATAATGGACTTATCTGGTGACAGTGGAGTGCCCTTAGCCTGTGCTGAAGTTGTGTAATCAAAAGCTCTCTATAGCTGACAGGACTAAAGCGACCAGTGTCCACAACCACCCAATAATGGAGCTGGGAAGCCCTTGCTGAAGTGATGGAAGTGGGCTGAACTCCACTGCAGTCAATGGGGATACTTCCAGCTTCCACTAGAATCTTGCTGGGACTCAAGTCCTATTTTTGTTGCTAATAAGGCCAGCTGGCATACTTGGTAAGCACTTAGATGGATAAGGAAGCCGAAGGAGGGGGGTATTATACACACAACTATGACTTCACACACACGTGGTGAGAAGTTCTGAGGGTGACCGAAGCCACCACAAGGGCAGAACTCTGAGAAGAGTATTTATACATACTTAGTCATAGATTTCCTGTGAAAGAAGATTATTATAATCACAGGATAGCACCACATTTTAATAAAAAAACCCATGTTTTTACTGAAATAATGCAAAGAAAAATGTCAGTGCCTCTGTGCTTTTTTATGTGTTGTAAGGGCTCTTTTCTCCTGGAAAAATAGTGAAAAACATTTTGATGATTTTAAAATGTGCATGAACTCTTGACAGGATTGTTATAGATGATGCCTGCAGGTTTTGGGATGGGACTATAGTGCTGCAGCTAGCTCAGTGATCAGAAGCAGGGTGTTAGATCATATGTGTAATTTAACCTCTAGAATTAAAATCTTATAAATGTTATCACACAAAACCTTTGAGATGCCAAGGTTTACATATGTGTCTAGAGCTTGCTGTATGTAGAGGCCTGTTAAGAGTCAAACAGGAATTTGAATTCCGAACTAGGAAGTTGTCAAAACCATCTTTGGTAGTAGAGAAGGCAGAGTCATGAAGTGATTTCCAACGTACACTAATGGCCCAAAGTATATAATTTTAGCCCCTGATTTTTAGGACTCTGCTCTTTGTGTAGTGTCACTGCAAAGATCACTTGGCAGTTTATCAGTTTTGGCACTGGTGTGTAAAAGTGGGTGCTGGTATGCATACATTAGCCTTTATTTGAAAACATGTGGCTGTAAACTATGACGCTTTACCCTCTGACCGTTCTTTCCAACAAGTAATGAGGTTTTCAATACTTCTTGTAAATTTATTAGTATTTTCTCTACTTATTTCTGGTGGAGCAGTAGAACAGAGTTGTAGCTAAATTGATCTGAAGGGATGAATCTTAGAAAGGCAATGCTCAAAGCCAGGTTGGACAAGGCCTTGATCAACATGGTCTAGTGGGAGGTGTCCCTGCCCATGGCAGGGGGGTTTGGGACTAGTTGACCTTTAAGGTCCATTCCAACCCCTTAACATTCTATGATTCTGTGAAACCTGATTTAACCCATAAACACAATGCTTTCCACTCTTTACTTTCACTGAGGCCCTCAAGGCAGATGCTGATCTTAAGTCTGTGATTTTGTGTACTGTCCTGTAGTCCATGAACAATGCAGAAGGTCTCCTGATTTCCATCTGCTATTTTTAGTTTTATGCATTAGTTCACACTATCTATCTCATACAATGAACTTTCAGTTTCTACTATTCTTTCTTCTGCAAACCCCTTCCAATCAATGCTAAAATGAATAGTTCTGGCTACAATTACATCATGGATAATATTAGGAGGGATCTGGGGAGGTGGGAGACGGAGTCATTAAAACTGGTCTCTTGCCATCAATATTGTATTCCCATAGCATCTAGGGTTTTGAACTGGGGCAGAAGGCCCCATAGGACAAGGTATTGTAATTTTTGCTCCACCTTTCCCCCAGAAGTAATATTATGAATTTTTCAAGCTTTTATACTCTAAAGCTGATCTTTCTGTTTATTTAGCTGCCTTGTATGATGACAAAGTCTGTTCTGGGTGGGTACTTAATGAATGATGGGAATGTTGCTCATGCACTTGTGAGCTAATGTTGAAAGTAATGTGTGTGGCACTTCCCTGGTGTCAGTTAAGTTGGAGGAGTAGTGAACATATAACTTCCTGTGAAAGCAAGCAAGCTGATTCAAAACTACAGGAAAATATTGATGTCATGACACGATGTCATTGTGTTTATGGAACTATCTTACTAAAATCCCAAGATTTGCAACATTAAATGGGAATAAACTAACACACTTGATGCAAAGTACTGTGAAGGCAGAGGCCAAAGTTTTAGGCAGCAAGCAAGTTTGGGAAGTGGCATAAAGAAGAGGCACAAGTGAGACTGATGATTACAAGGTTTTAGGGGAGACAAAACATTCTAATTTGAAGTGGGTCTCAATGCTGCATTGAGAGCAATGGAGAAGAAGGAATGTGTGTAAAGCAAACTTAGATTTAAGATGCTTCAGATGGATGGGCTCTTCATCTTATTCAGCACTGGAGCTGCAGATAGCAATGAACATAGTAACTAGATGGAGATATTGCATAAATCAATTTGTGCTAGTAAGTGAAGTCAGCAGTGCCTTAGAGGTTGAAGATCCTTCAGAGTGGTAAAAAGTATCCTTTGATT